GTCACCGTCAACCACAAGCTGCCGTTGCTTCTTGCGTACCCTCTGTGTGTGCGATGATGTGCTTACGTGTCTGGCCACATTTGATTCCCAACTGCTAATGCTCCAGATTGTTAAAATGTTGCGCGGGGCGCCCTCCAACGTAGCGGCGTGCTGAAGCAATGATGGAATTGGCGCATTGGTTCATCACGTGACAACTTTATTTATTTGGCTGTGTCGGGTGGAGGAGGCGCGCACGACAACAATACTAGCATCAGACTCACCAAAACTGATCGATTATGAAGCAGACTCTTGCTTTCATGGCATTAAAGAACAGACAGCTTTTGAAGAAGAAAAAAAATCACCCCAGACATAATGAATTGCAGCAAGAGACGACAACAACAACAATTACCGCGTGAGTCCCAGCATCACGAAGCACAGCTGTTTACACACAACACAAATAACACGTGGTCTGCATATTAGCCACTCTGTTATTAGTCACCTAACCCCCCCCCCCCCCCGCCTTAGCATTTCCACGTGCGCAGGCGACTGGGTGCTGCTGCCACATCGCTGCAAGATTGCCCCCCCCAAACCCCGCCCCCCCCCCCACCCCGTTCGATAATCGATAATTGTTTATCCGGCCGTGCAGGCGGCGTTGGAGCCCGATGGTGTCGAATGTGAGTGCAACAGCGACGAAAACAGACTGTAATCTACGCTTCTATATCCCAGAAATGTGTTCCTGATATATTAATAACAACAACAACAAAGTCAGCTTCGCGGTTCCTGGTAATAAATAAGTTGACATTGGCACAAAACGTCGAACGGAGGGAGCGCTGTCGTTTAATGACGGCTTGCCATTCGATTTGATAACTCGAGATCCTTATAACTCACGTACGATATATTTTTGTGGGAATGGGCACACGCGTATTTTGTACACACACACGTACACACACTTTCACTAAAGCTATAGCTATTCCTTCATTGTTGTTCACACAAATACTTCCAACTCGGACATTTTCCATGGAGATGCTCTCGTGATATGGGAGGTGATTATGATAATACATTCCCATACATCCATAGGGGGGGAAAAACCTCACCGGGTCGAAAGGTATTATTATCCCATGAGCCAAGGTTACCACGTGGGGTGACATGCTGCCAGTGGGCAGTGTCCCCCCCCCCCCCCCCCCCTAGGCAGAACGCGTGACGTATATATAAGATCCGTTTTATACACACACACATACACACACATATACACACACACATACAGTCCCTATTTATTCAAATATTCCATAGAGGTTTCATATCACAATCGGGTCCCCCCTCCTCCAAAATTATATTCTTTCGTACTCCATTAATGACATGGTTATATTTATTAAAAAAAGCTACCACGTTCAACGTGCTAGTTTAACACGTATTATGAATCAACGTGCTAGTTTAAAACGTATTATGGATCAACGTGCTATCATGTAAATGTGTGATCGATTGTTGAAATGCTTCAAGAAAATCATTGTTCGCATTTTCCACCTGACGTGGTACCGATGAGACATTTTCAGGTCAATTGCTCAAGTACCCCAACTTGGGATATTTGGGCCATTCCCCGTTATTTATGTATTTCGTGCATGTCGAGTGAAATTAGAGAACCCAGAGAAAACCCTATGGAAGTGTGCAGATAATACTCAAACTCGATAGGAATAGGTCACCAATCTGCTCGCTCTACTGGCAGGTGAATAATGATGAGATATTTGACTGCTCGGCCACACGGTGACATGCGATGGCATTAAATCGGAATGTTTTGAGTGGCTCTGAATGTAATGGATATCCTAATGCACACACATTTTGTATGGGTGTTTTGGATCCCACCCCCCGCCCCCCCGTTAAGAAACCAGTTCGATGAGACTGCCCCTTTCCTGACCACCTTGGTATATAATGTGACCCCAAATCGCCCTCAAGGGGCCCAATGAAGCTTCGGGTTTCTGTGGTTGATAAGACCACCACAACACCGGCTTTAGCGGTGATGCAGTCCGCGTGCTGGTGTGCGCTCACGTTGATATTTTACCCGTGCGGGAATGGTATTTTCAGATTTGTATTTTACAACAGTGAATATAGTGCAAGTTTTTTTTTTATTTTTAAGTCGGAGATGCGTGTAGGCTGCATGAGTAACGATGATCGAAACAGCAGGACGATATAAAAAAATAGGGCGACTGGTCCCTTTTCATCAAAATGTAAAACCACCGCGTAAGCATTACGCATCGACAGCACATGTAACGTGTATGTTTAAAAATATCTAAATATGTCAAAAGTTCGCCGTTAAATCTGAAGGAAAAAAAAGTCATCAGACGCGTTTCATAAACGCCGCCATGGCGATTCCAACTATAAAAATACGTTAATTTTCACAACACCAAACCCCCAAAAAAAAACGGAGTGAAAACGAACGCGGTCGTCGCTAACGAGTGCCCACATAAGTTAACGCGCAAAGTCACACACGCGATGGAGGGGCGGCGGGTGTTATATTTTTTTAAAATGTCTCTCGTTATTCCGTTGTTCATTAAGACGCGTGCCTCCCCCCCCCTCGCTCCCCGTCCGTTAGGTGCGCGGTTGCTTCATAGTGCGACTGGACCGCGAGTAACGAGCAAGTAAAGACCACAAGCGTCAACCGGCCACGCTCCTCCACACACACACACGGAGTGAAACACTTGGGCTGCCCTTGTGACATTACCATGAACCGTCGGGGCAAGGAACTGCAACACTGAGAACGACGGGTGGGTGATGGGTGGGGGTGGCAAAGAGGTCGATGGGTCACATTTCACAAAACTAGAACATCGAGCAACACAGACAACGGACAACCGTGCCGTGGGATCAATACACACGGGGCCCTCCACGGCCACGGCACAAACACTACTGCGCGTTTCGCTCGTAAGCACGATTTCAAGTTCTGCAGAGTATTTTTTTTTTTATTCTCGTTTTTTTTTTAATATGGCAACTGCGCAGATATAGCTGCGGGACAGTCATACTCATTTCAATGCAAAACTCCGTATTGTTCATTCCCCGCATGCCCGAGCAAGAGCAGTGGTCCCTAAGATGTCCTGGACTCATCCGGCCACTGTCAACCCTCAAATAAATCTCCCGGGACCGTCGCGCAATTAAAACATTTTTTCGTGAAGAGGACCGTATCCGCCATGCGTTGACGGCTGTGCGCGTGGCTGCCTGTAATCCAGCGCTGTGGAGGAAAGGGTCGGTAGATCACACAAATGTCGTGAAACCCCCATTACCGTGGGCGTCGTGGTCGCCATACCCTTGGCTTTCCAGGAGAAGGCGGTTACAAGCGAGTGTACTAATCTCCATCTCTTTCCAATCTGTACGGAGTTAGGAGCGCTGCACAAACCACCCGACCCCCGCACGCGCTCCAGTTTCATCTCCCACATGGTACACGGGCTCGTCTTAAGTTGTCCAAAAACATTTGCGACGGTTCCACCGACGACCCCCCAACGGCCCTACCCACGGGGATTGGAAACCACAGTCTGAGAGCATTTTTCAACTTTTCGTGAAATGCCTATTTGTTCTCTGTCAGCCTAGCGTATCTGTTTGTGGTTAGTGGCGGGTTTTGTTCACCTCCTACTAGAGGAAACATGTTCATCAAAGAGAGGCACAACTCATCCATCGTGCAAGCCCGTGGTTCTCGTGTAAATGTTGTTGGGTCATCTTTTTTTGTTTTCATTCATTCGGCAACACATTTGGTCTTCAATTTTGCAGATCCTACATTTATATTTGAGCCATCCGCAATCCGTAAACTATTAGATTTCCTTTCTGCAAGTACGCGTGGCCAAGAGAGGAAATATTTGTCGTAGCCAGCTCGGCGCATAGTTTTTCTAACCCTGCATGACATATATGAGCAATGGCTATACTGTAAGTGGTGCAAGTCCAAAACAAGCACATTATTGGTATTTTTGTTTGTCAATGCGCGACACGCACCTTTGGGCTACATCTGCGTTTAACTGCGATATAACATTTAAATTCTCGATTGTGCGTGTTGAAAAGCCCGATGACACATCTGACACAATTTGACACCACGAGTTATTTATATGTGTGCACGCTCTAACAATACTCTCGCAGCCCCAAAACGATCAACACTCATCTCTCCTCCGGAGACCGACGAAAGAGAGAACCAATGAGAAACCTCATCATCTTTCCGCACGCTCGCTCTTAGTTTATTAACCATTGTTATCGATGGGACGATTCTTTTGAATGCAGAGAAACTGTCTCTCTTTCGTTCGCTTGTAAGCAATTTTATATTTTTTTGACGGGGGTGGGGGGGGCGGTCTGTTTTGTCATCCAAGGTATCAAGAGATGAGGAATCCCTTTGGAAATCTTGCAATTCAAAAAAGCGCCCGATGTACTGTAAAACGCCGGCGGAATAATGTTTTGTTACTGACCTGAAAAATCCTACAACAGGGTTGGCCATCACGATGCTAACGATTGCTTGATCATTTATTCACAAACGTCCGTGGAATGTTCGATTTTGCCCATTTGTACAAATTCCTTGATTTTATCTTTCATCAAAGTAAACTCTTAAGATTTTGTCCCCCCCCCCTCCAATTCATCAGTTGTGACGCTCGCCTGCCAATGGGACTCGCTCGGCCCGTTCGCAAAAAAATATAATCCGTGGACGTTGTCCTTATCGTCTCTTCGGTTACTGTATTTAAAACGTTAAAAACCTTGGCACTCTGCTTTTAGGAATGTTCAGTAGTGCACCATGCCACCGACCTTCACACACACAAAGAAAAATATCCCCCATATAGCCTTAACAGACTGTAGGGGCAAGTGCTGTTAGCGAGCACCTATGAAGGCCAGCACAGCACACGAGGGGGTGGGTGGCCAGCACCACCCCCGGCTGCCTTTGTCTCCCCAGTGGCGATTTTTATACATCACACCAGGTACTTATTTGAGGCTGAGTCGACGCCCAGGACCGGTTCAGATAATCGGCACTGGTGTTGGCCGTGAGCGGAAATCGAACCCAGGTCGCCGGATTCGTAGCGCAGCGCGCTAACCGTTACACTACCGCTCCCCACACACACTGACACACACTGACACACACTAACACACACACACTAACACACACACTAACACACACACAGACACACACACGTAGAACCTCTCTCTCGCGTAAGGTAATCAGGCTTGTGCGTGTCATTGACTGGCCCGAGAACCCAGCACCGACAGGCAAGACGAAATAAAATTCCAGAGCCTCAAATGCCACGGCGGCTGGATCGAGTCCTCCCCTTGTGACTTTCCAATCCAGAAAAGTGGGTGTCATGTTGCCGCGGCTTCAAGACCTCTTTCATGTCGCCCGTTCGGGTGTGTCGCCCGCGCCGTCAAAGTGTTGAACCCCGTCTCTTAATAATAATAATAAGGGGGCCGCCTTAATCTCACCCGCGGTGATGCTGTGCAGTTGGTATTTACGTTCATTAGCCGATCGGACGTGTGCGTCTGAACTGAACTGGCGTGCTGGGTTCTGCACTGGAGCACAAGAGAAAAGCCACCGTCAAAAGAACACCGCTGCAACCGGAGTCGGTTTAGCTATCACAGGTCACGGTCGCGCTCATGTTTTAAACTATCTGCACACAAATCGTTTGACGTGCGGCTGACGGGGGCTCCTATTACATCACGGGATCTTGAAGGATCGGCGTCAGTCCGGGGAGGCCTTAATCCAGTGGTGCGTTGACCAGGGCTTCTGATGGAACATGATGATTACATCTACTGTCAGGCTTCAGAAGCAATCGAGTTTGTTGTTTTTTATGTACTTTGTAAGCCGGGTCCCCCTTGTAAAGGTCGACGTTAAGCCACAATGAGCTCTCGCCTGGTCATAAATATTCTGTCGTTCTGGATTCGGGGGTCAGGGTTAGGGCTGCCCGATTGACGGCCGCGTTGTCTTCCGAAGAGCGGCATTATTTCCCGGGACAACGGCGGTCTTTCGGTTGCGCGGAGCGCAAGCCGCCCTTGGCAGAAGTTAGCGGAATGCGCACCCTTGCACGGGTGTAATCTTACGGGGTTTTTTTTTTAAAAGGGGGAGAGGAAAAAAAACCGCTATAAAACTAAATATTATTATTTAGTTTTAAAGCACGGCGGCCCATTTGCGCCGCGCTGTAAAAGCGAGGCTCGCGAATTGGTCGTTCAACTCTGGGGAGCTACGGGCGTGGGTGCACGGCGAGTTTCTGTTACGGAGAGCGAGGGGAAGCAAAGGGAGAGGGAAAGGAGGGAGTTGCTGGAAACGAGGGGTTTAGCAGAAAATAATGATTGACCGCTGATGAGATAGGATTGCCTGCCGAGCAGGCAGAGTCAAGCTTTTGCTGAAGCCACAAACATGTAAAGCCCACTTCAATTTCCTCCACCCCGATTATCTGGTTCGTTACTTTGTTGGAACAAATCCCCGCTGTTAAGTGCGTGCGTTGTGCGTCGTGAAAAACAACTGCGATCGGGCGAGTTACATTTGCGTTCGCTCCGCGTGCTTCGCTTTGCGTTGCTTGTTGATCTGCTGCGATTACCTTCACTGGGATGATTCAAGGTCAACCCCGGCACGGTTTAATCATGGTCTTTCCAAGGGACAATCGTGGTTCTATCCCTCCCTCCTTTCGATCCAAACTCCTGCGGAACGACCACGGCCCATTCTCTCGTCACATCTGCGTGGCTTCCCGCGCTCGATGGGACAACCGTCGACGCTGGGTCGAGTCAGCTCGTTTCTCTTGACGCAGGATTTTACGATTTTCGTTCACTTGGCTGCTGCAGTTGGTTGCACGATTACCGACGTCGAATAAATGCTTGGAATTTACAAAAGGTTTGGCAGTACGGATTAAGCGTTAAAAAAATGCTTGTTTTTAAGCTTTAATCTGGTTTAAGTTAACTTGATTGTAAACGCCCATCCACCAGCAACCACTGAACCGCAGTCACTGTACGGTGGTGACGAGGGGGCAGGGACTTTTAGGCCAAGTTACTCTAAACCAGAGAGAACCAGCCAACAAAACAACGTATTAATAAAAAACAAAAACAGAATACGAATGAAAAGTAAAAAAAACACTTTAAAAAGTCCTTCAAGTACAGCCTTTGTTAATTAAGTTAATAAATTGTCTACGATGTATGCCTGGGGTACAGTGGCAAGCGCCCTGCGCTACAAGTCCGTCCACCTGAGTTCGATTCCCCACCGCTGCTAACATCTGTGATGTCATCTCTAAACCGGTTCCCCGCCATTCGAAAATCAAATCTCGCATTGACCTTGGTCAAGAAAGTTGGACAACTCCCACGACCACAAGAAGAGTCGGGTGTAGTTCATCCAGCAGTGGATTGATAAACGGGCTGCGAATTCTCACCGACCGTTCCACGGTCCGAAATCTAAACCAGACGGTCGAGAATAGAACACGACTCAAAAATGCAGCCTCGTACATTCCCGCGATCAATTCCGGGCCTCCCTCTCCTGGCCCGCCAACGCTTGCCGGCAGCTGTAGAGCCACTTGATGATTCGCGCGTTGCGCTCGATGACCGACACCATGGAGGGCGAGTGGTCGGCAAGGTCTGGATCGGCGTCGGGCCCCTCCCCGGGTCCCGCGCTGCTACGCCGCGCCGACAGCCCGTCGAAGTCGGGGTCGTCCCACCGCACGCTGCTGCAAGCGCGCTCCTCGTGGCGCTCCTCGTGGCGCTCCCCGCGCCCCGCCTCGCTCTCCGTCGCCGTCAGGTCCGCCGCCGTTGCTTCAAAGTGCCCGGAGCGAGCGCGCTCCGGGCACGCGGTCGGGGGGGGTTCCACTCCGCAGCCGTCGAAGAAGGCGGCGGCCGTGTCGGCTCCGCGCCCGGCCACCGCCGGCGCTTCCAGCCAGGACGACGACGTCGCCGCCGCCGCCGCCGCCGCCGTACACGACGCGGAGAGGAGCGCGGGCGGAGGAGGGGGGGACGAGCTGCAGGCGAGCGCCGGTCCCGAGCGGTGCACGAACGCCGACTCGGGCAGCGACATGGGCCGCGCGGGCCTCCGCCGCGATCCGACCACGTCTGTCGTCTCGGCCGAGCGCGTCTTCGGCTCACGGGGAACGTCGGTGCCGTTGGCGCTCGCCGGCACGCCGGGCTCCCCCGCGAGACCCCGCTGGTGGTGATGATGGTGTCGGTGATGGCTGCTTTGATTTTGGGGACAAAGATGCTGCTGCTGCTGCTGCTGGAATTCTGGCAAGGCCACTTTAGGTTCCTCGTTCTCCGCTTTGCCTCTGGGCCTGTGCTCGGGCGAGCTTTTCATCGGCTGGCCGCCGGACGGCAGGAGAAGTCCCAGGGATTGCTCCTTGGCGCCACCCATGCCTTGGAAGAACCTTCGCAGGAACTTGACGTGGCCGGCCTTGAAGACGGAGCCATCGTTCCCGTTGGAGTCGACCCCTTGGGGTTTTTCCGAAGCCTCCCGCCGGCACGGCGGGGCAGAGGGCTCCGGCCCAACCCGGCCGCCCCCTTCACAGTGGCCACCCTCGCCTCTGTCGGCACACGGCGATCTCTGCAGGTCATTGATGGCATTGTTGAGCACCTCGAGGTTCAGGTTCTGGCCCCCTCCGTTTGCGGTGCCGTTCGCCGCGTCCACCTCGTCTTCATCGTCGTCGTCGTCGTCGTCAACCTCTCGGTGTCCATCACAGGCGCCTCCGCCGCCACCGCCGTCGCCCTGGGGCGGGCTCAGCTCCCCGTCGCAGCGCGGCTTCACGTACTTGGCACGGTCGGCCTCCAGACGCTCGCGCACGCTCACCCTGCCGCGCTGTGACCCCTCGAAGTGCAGCCGTAGGTACTCGGGTCCTTTGCTCAGAATGCGCATGCAGTGCAGGGGGGCCCCTGGTGAGGCCGGGCGGGGTCTGGCGGGCCTGGTTGGCCTAGCGAGCCTCTGCTCTAAGCCCACGCCGGCCGGCATGATGTCGTTCCCAGGACTGCCAGATTTGGGCGATTTTGTGTGCAATTGGACGGTGTTGTATTTTTCTTAAGCTATTCTGAAATGTGTTTGAGAAAATAAAAACTGCTTTTAAAAAAAGAGACGTGTGGGTTTTTTTTGGGGCTCAAACCTGGAAAATGGGGGCACTTTTGAGCTCTTCTGTCCAAAGTTTTGGCGCTATTTAGCAAAAAAATAATAATTGGCAGTCCTGTTCGTTCCTGCCTTGCTCACCAAGCGCCAGATGCATGAGGCCAATTTTTCCGGATTATTTTTTTTCTCTCCTCTGAATTTTTGTTAGCGGTTACGGAGCTCGAAATCTGTGTCGCCGCCTCCGTTGCTAGGTATTTGCTTTATCAATGCTCGGCAGCGACGTTTGTTACAAAAAAGAAAATTATTTTTGTTGTAAGTAAATACTTGCTGGAGGCAATTGCAAAACGCGAGTTTACATTTGGCAGCATTCAACCAAGATGACTAAATTAGAAACGTGGAAAATGTAGTGGCGTATAAAAATTTTTTGCAAGAGCTGCTTTATTCCTCCACTCGTTTCCCCGTAATGGATGCTGGCGATGGCGGTGCGATGTGGAGTGCGATGTGGAGTAACTCTCGCGCAGCGGGTGCCGCTCGCTGCAATATCAAAACCACTTCCAGTGACGTGACGTTAACGTCTCCTTTGGGAGTCGGAGTCTTCCGAACGACCACGCATAATAACGGCTCGTTGTGGGGGGGGAGGGGGGCCCCGAATAATAACTTCTGCTGCACGCCGTGTCTTGATTTATCGGTCATGCGCTAGACCCCTGTTGTCTTGCAGCTTTTCTGCTTCCTGCAGGGATAGGTGAGCTCGTGCGGTTTTCCACGACCGTGGAGGCCGCATCAACCGAGCGTCCCTCGACCGCAGACACGAGAAGAAAACTGAAAAAGCAAAACGGAGGGGAAACAGGCGGCAGAAAACGGAAACGTTAAAAGCAGAACTCCATCGGAACATCTACCCACTGACGCAAACCTCTCCCCTCTGCCGACGCACGCCGTTGGAGTGTTGGTGGTACAGTGGCGAGTTTAAAAAACGTTTCATGTTTGTGCACTCTAATGAATACGAGCCTTTCACAAATGGCCAGCCGAGGTTAATAAACGCTTACAGTTGGCCCACCAAGAGAGAGTGTTCTGTTTTGGGTTCCCCTCCCCGCTCCCAGCCCTGAGAAAGTGGTTTTCGAGCCGGCAACGCTTTCTCAACAACAACAACAACACACCGCACTGTGGCGGACTGCCACCTTTTCCACACGCGGGACCCAAGGATCCCAACTCTCCGCTCCGCGGCGGAGTGCAGAGTAACCCCCTCGGCGCGTTGCGCGCCATGCGTAAAGTGGCGTGTGTGGGGTGCGGCGCTAACGCAAGTGGTTGGGCAATGTTGTGCTGTGGCTAAGGGCCCCCTTGGCGACGCCGGGTTCAATCTCTGGCCACCACGGCCAATATCAACGGAGATCATCTGGACCGGTCGGTCCTGGGCTTCCGCGAGGGCGACTCCGGCCTTAAATGGGCAGCACCTGGTTGCCCGTGTTGTAAACTTTAGCACAAAGGGCCACAGCATCGTAGGTTTTGACCACACCATCACGGGTCTGACTACACCATCATGGTACTGGCCACGCCATCACGGGTCTGACCACACCATCATGGTACTGGCCACGCCATCACGGGTCTGACTACACCATCATGGTACTGGCCACGCCATTCCGGGTGTGACCACACCATCATGGATCTTGCCACACCATATACGGGTCTGACCACACCAACAACGGATGGTAAATGGCCACAACATCGCGGTTCTGGCCACAAAAAGACCACACCGTCATGGTTTCTGGCCACACCATCATCATGCCGCTGTGCCTTCACCGGCGCTGCCGCGTGTTTCCTTGGCGGGGACGCGATGGCACAGTTTGCTTGTGGAAGCACACGAACACAATGCCAGCTCGCTACACTTGGCACACAACACCGGGGGGGGCAAGTGGAGTTGGCACCTGACCCAGCAGGTGTGTCTAAAACTTGACGACTCTGGTGAGAGAGATTGCAGGGAGGCCGTTTGCTTTTTTGGCTGTGGGGCCGTCCATAAATGACGTCACGCACCTGGGGGGGAGGGGGGGGGGTCTGACATTTGTGACGATGTGAAATATAGACAACACGTTCTACTTAATTGAATAGACTTTTTAATGTTTTCTCCTACAACATCAGAGTGCAGCGGCACATTAAATACGCGCTTCAATGGCAATAGTTTAAAGCGATTTGAAGCATGTTTTATATTTGGGGGGGGGGGGCAGAGCTTTGTGACGTCATATTTGAGGGGGGGGGGGTCTGACTTTTTGCGACGAGGGGGGGGGTAAAAAAATCCTCCAAAATCGCGTGACGTCATTTATGGCCGGCCCCTGTGCGATTGCTCCAGCCGCATAAACACTCCCGAAACAAAAACAACAACAACAACAACAACCCCATCACACACGCCACTTGCCGGCTCTAGTGAGTGCTTGCTACGCTGTATACACTGTGTGTATAGTGTGTGTATACAGTGTATAGTGTATATACAGTGTGTAGTGTGTGTATACAGTGTGTAGTGTGTATACAGTGTATAGTGTATATACAGTGTGTAGTGTGTGTATACAGTGTGTAGTGTGTATACAGTGTATAGTGTATATACAGTGTGTAGTGTGTGTATACAGTGTATAGTGTATATACAGTGTGTAGTGTGTGTATACAGTGTGTAGTGTGTATACAGTGTATAGTGTGTGTATACAGTGTATAGTGTATATACAGTGTGTAGTGTGTGTATACAGTGTATAGTGTATATACAGTGTGTAGTGTGTGTATACAGTGTGTAGTGTGTATACACTGTGTGTATAGTGTGTGTATACAGTGTGTAGTGTGTATACAGTGTATAGTGTGTGTATACAGTGTGTAGTGTGTGTATACACTGTGTGTATAGTGTGTGTATACAGTGTGTAGTGTATATACAGTGTATGGTGTGTATACAGTGTGTAGTGTGTGTATACACTGTGTGTATAGTGTGTGTATACAGTGTGTAGTGTGTGTATACAGTGTGTAGTGTGTGTATACACTGTGTAGTGTGTGTATACAGTGTGTAGTGTGTGTATACAGTGTGTAGTGTGTGTATACAGTGTGTGTATACACTGTGTATAGTGTGTATACAGTGTATAGTGTGTATAGAGTGTATAGTGTGTATACAGTGTATAGTGTATATACAGTGTGTAGTGTGTATACAGTGTGTAGTGTATACACGGTGTGTAGTGTGTATACAGTGTGTAGTGTGTGTATACACTGTGTGTATAGTGTGTGTATACAGTGTGTAGTGTGTGTATACAGTGTGTGTATACACTGTGTATAGTGTGTGTATACAGTGTGTAGTGTGTGTATACAGTGTATAGTGTGTGTATACAGTGTATAGTGTATATACAGTGTGTAGTGTGTGTATACAGTGTGTAGTGTATACACGGTGTGTAGTGTGTATACAGTGTGTAGTGTGTGTATACACTGTGTATAGTGTGTATACAGTGTATAGTGTGTATACAGTGTATAGTGTATATACAGTGTGTAGTGTGTGTATACAGTGTGTAGTGTGTATACACTGTGTGTATAGTGTGTGTATACAGTGTATAGTGTATATACAGTGTATAGTGTGTATACAGTGTGTAGTGTGTGTATACACTGTGTGTATAGTGTGTATATACAGTGTGTAGTGTGTGTATACAGTGTGTATAGTGTATATACAGTGTGTAGTGTGTATACACTGTGTGTAGTGTGTATATACAGTGTGTAGTGTGTATACACTGTGTGTATAGTGTGTATATACAGTGTGTAGTGTGTATACAGTGTGTATAGTGTGCATATACAGTGTGTAGTGTATGTATACACTGTGTATAGTGTGTGTATACAGTGTGTAGTGTGTGTATACAGTGTGTATAGTGTATATACAGTGTGTAGTGTGTATACACTGTGTGTATAGTGTTATATACAGTGCGTAGTGTGTATACACTGTGTGTATAGTGTATATACAGTGTGTAGTGTGTATACAGTGTGTATAGTGTGTATATAAAGTGTGTAGTGTGTATACAGTGTGTATAGTGTATATACAGTGTGTAGTGTGTATACACTGTGTGTATAGTGTATATACAGTGTGTAGTGTATATACAGTGTGTAGTGTGTACAGTGTGTAGTGTATACTGTGTATAGTATATACAGTGTGTAGTGTGTGTATACACTGTGTGTAGTGTATACACTGTATAGTGTGTATATACAGTGTGTATAGTATATACAGTGTGTATGGTGTATACACTGTGTGTAGTGTGTATACAGTGTGTAGTGTATGTATACACTGTATAGTGTGTATATACAGTGTGTAGTGTGTGTATACACTGTGTGTAGTGTATACTGTGTATAGTATATACAGTGTGTAGTGTGTGTATACACTGTGTGTATAGTGTGTGTATAAAGTGTGTATAGTGTATATACAGTGTGTAGTGTGTATACACTGTGTATAGTGTGTATATACAGTGTGTAGTGTATACAGTGTGTAGTGTATACTGTGTATAGTATATACAGTGTGTAGTGTGTATACATTGTATTGTGTATATACAGTGTGTAGTGTATACTGTGTAGTGTATATACAGTGTGTAATGTGTATACAGTCTATAGTGTGTATACACTGTGTATAGTGTGTATACTGTGTATAGTGTATACAGTGTGTTTAGTGTATATACAGTGTGTATAGTGTGCATATACAGGGTGTAGTGTATATACTGTGTGTACTGTATATACAGTGTATAGTGTATACTGTGTGTATACAGTGTGTATAGTGTATATGCAGTGTGTAGTGTATACACTGGGTGTATGCAGTGTGTATAGTGTATATACAGTGTGTATAGTGTATATACAGTGTGTATAGTGTATACAGTGTGTAGTGTGTATACACTGTGTATAGTGTATATACAGTGTAGTGTATATATAGTGTGTAGTGTATATAAAGTGTGTATAGTGTATATACAGTGTACATAGTGTATATGCAGTGTGTATAGTGTATACAGTGCGTATAGTGTGTATACAGTGTGTATAGTGTGTATACAGTGTGTAATGTGTATACAGTGTATAGTGTATATACAGTGTATAGTGTATATACAGTGTGTAGTGTATGTACAGTGTGTAGTGTGTATACTGTGTATAGTGTGTATGTACAGTGTGTATAGTGTATACACTGTGTATAGTGTGAATATACAGTGTAGTATATATATATACAGTGTATAGTGTATATACAGTGTGTGTAGTGTATATACAGTGTGTAGTGTATATGCAGTGTGTAGTGTATATACAGTGTATATAGTGTGTATAGTCTGTGTATACACTGCGTGTATAGTGTGTGTACACACATACACTGTGTAAACTGTGTATAGACTGTGTATACAGTGTATATAGTGTGTATACACTCTGTGTGTGTATATAGTGTATGCATGTGTGTACACACTGTGTGTGTACACTGTGTGTGTTCACTGTGTGTGTGAACAATGTGTATGTGTGTACACTGTGTGTTCGATGTGTGTGTTCACTGTGTGTGTTCACTGTGTTCACTGTGTGTGTGTTCACTGTGTTCACTGTGTGTGTGTTCACTGTGTGTGTGTTCACTGTGTGTGTATGTGTACACTGTGTGTATGTGTTCACTGTGTGTGTGTTCACTGTGTTCACTGTGTGTGTGTTCACTGTGTGTGTTCACTGTGTGTGTTTTCACTGTGTTCACTGTGTGTATGTGTTCACTGTGTGTGTATTCACTGTGTGTGTATGTGTACACTGTGTGTGTGTTCACTGTGTTCACTGTGTGTTTGTTCACTGTGTGTTCACTGTGTGTATGTGTTCACTGTGTG